CAAAGGGTGAAAGAATATAATGAAGATAAAAGTGTGATGACATACTGGCACTTACATACAGCATAAAGCCACACCTCGAGGTATAATACAGCAGACAATACTATTAGGAAGAAATCCCTGTAAGTTTATGAACAGTGCTTTACCTCTTTGACTCTTTTGCATCTCCAGGGACAATCTCAACCAATGGGAAAAAGTAACAAGAGGTGAGGAAGCCTCGATATGGATTCCCTCCCAGTCCATCACTCCTGGGACTTCAGATTCGCTTCCTGTGAAGATTGATGACTGAACAGCAGCAACAGATTGCTTTAACCCTAAAAGTATCCCTTCTTGCTTTGGGGGTTGTTTTTTGTTTGCTTTGTTTTTATTTGACAAAGGAAAAAGAAAAGCTACAAAATGCTAACTAAGAAGCAGATCTGCCAATGAAGGTAACACCCATGGAGTTGCCTCAGTTAAACAACCCTGGCAGCCAATCTCCTGACCTACACCAGTGACACAATGTGAACAGAGGGAAAACGACAACCCAGATTTTTTGGAATCAGCTATCAAAAGAAAACTTAAGACTTGTGAATATAAAAGACTGGCCTTATCTCATGGGCTACATTGCTGAGGCCTTAATTTAAAACTGATGGGGAAAAAAAAATCTTAGGGGGTACTTCTAAATTGTATCTTTCTAGTAAGGGTTTCAATGGTACTTTTATTATACTGTACTGTGGCTGGCTTTAACACCAGTGTCACTTGGGAGTTCTTGGCTATAAATAGAACAATATATCCATTGCTATTGTGAATGTTTATGTGTGATCTACTTGTAATCAGTTTGAACTCCAGCAGAATCCTTGGAGACTATAATTCATGCTTAGGTTACGGTGAATTCTCTTGCTGCAAACAAAAGAAAACCAACATTCAGGTTAAAGGTTTACAGTACTTCATTAAGCATCATGATGCAAACTGTCTGTCACTCACAAGGCAAATGTTGAAAGAGCTAGTGATGATGCTTTGTTCTTCAGAATGATTTATCAAGCTAGACAACTCCTCCCTTTAAACACTGGAAGTGCTGGATGTTTATCTCCAATAAGGAGAGGTGTAGGCATAGTTTCAGGTTGGAGTTTTTGTATCCATAGTGACAGAAGCATCAGATTAAAATTTAAATGTGACAGCAAAGATTTCCTTGCCTAGCTCACAAATACCTAAAGTCATCATGTTTACTTCTACCTGCTGAGTTGTATTCTAAAAGGTATTAGAGACATACCTGAAGTATGCTATCTGCTGGGAACAAAAGCCCTGTCAGAAAAGTCAGGTCTCATAAAAGAAATTGTGGTACCATCACAATAAATCAAAAATGTTTTTGTATAGACTAGCTTTTGTGTTGCACAGTAACACTGCATGTCTTCTTCTACTCTTTATCCCCATCCCAAGATAGTGAAATTAGGAAACTTCTCCCTTTTTGTTTGCTTTTTTCCTTAGTTCATCAAAATTTCCAGACTTAGTACTGCCTTTCTCAAAGAAAGAATAGCTGACAGAAGAAAAGTACTCTAAAATATTGTGTTTACAGTTCTGTGCTTCAGTTAGGCGTCAGCCTTACAAACTTATGCACAGACTTTAAGACCTTACATTTAATGCCACTCTTTTGAATTTAGTGCAATTTTACAAAATATGTTTCAAGAACTCTTAATTTGCCTTCATCTTTCTCTTAAAAATAATGAGAAAAAACTCTTCATATTGATCCACACAGTAAGTGAAAACACAGTCTTTGTATACCTTTCACAGTCTTTGTAAACCTTTCACATACAGCCTATACTGCATTATATGCTTTTTCACAGATAATACATTGTTGTAGTGGTTCTATGATAACATGGCCATTTGTGTAACTGCAACTAATAACAGTAGCAACTTAAAGACAGGATGCAGGTTCTTTTTTTCTTTCTCACACCTGTTGCTCTAATATTGCTCTAATAAGCATGTCATCTTCTGTGTTTTATTTAAATGACATTTAAATTACTCTTGAGTTTTGCCTTCTGTTATGGTCGAGCACATACCAGTATGTGTACATGTGTACAGTATGTGATGCATAATCACATAATGTATAAATGCACCTAAGCCTTTGCTGTACATAGATATCCCAGAGGTTGAGAATTCAATTTGAAATTATCTTATTTGTATAATACAGGTTACCTAGCAGAAAGCCCCATAATTCTTTTCAGGTGCTTTGCTAATTCTAAGTGCAGAAATTCATTTCTAACCACAGTAAATTATTTAATCATTTTGGATTAAAAAAATAAAAAATAAAACAGGAAACACCAAAGTAGAATGAATAGTATCTCATGCTGTCTTCTGCTTTATTACTTAGTAGTTCTGCTTTAATGAAATCATGCAGTTGCAGACTTTCATCTGCTGAGTACTTGATACACAATCAATCATTCTTAATTCACATGGAAATTTATCTAAATCTATGGTGACCACAAAAATATTCTCTGAAATTCAGATATTCCACCAACTGAACTGAACATTTTTCCTTCATGGGTTAAGTATATTTGCTGTTCTTATTAGAATGATGATATAACAAGCTTTGCAAAAATATTCCTTATCACACTGTCTGTGTTAAGCAAAGTTATAATTTGTCTTCTAGTCATTGCTGGTAAAGACAACTTGGCTAGTTCTGTTACTTACTATTCAGAATATTTGACATATCACATGGTATGTCTTGTTTTGAAGTTTACAAGTACTGACACGGAACATACTTCCCTAACAAATTCATCCAATTGAACGTAAGTTGTTCTATTAATGTCCCAAGTCAATCAGATGGGTTTGTTTGTTTTTTTCTAATGTGGAACTACCTGAAACATTTAAAATACATGTTTATTATAGTATAAGATCCACTAAAACTAAAAACTTCAGTTACGGTGGTTGTGGATTGGTCTATGAAAGGAGAAAAAATCATGACAAAACATTACTTTTTGTCTGTAGCTATAATAAAATTAGCAATAGTGCGCTACATTTTCTAAGCAAATTTAGTCTCAGCATTTAAAGAGTACAGATTCAGATGTAACTTTCTGTAGAAAACAAACAAACAAACAAAAAGTAAAATCAGTACCCCCAAAGTCAAACCCACCAAAAATTGAAACTTTGAAGTTGCATATGAATTTCACAACTCAAGTACATATTGAGATTTAATTGTTCAAAAGTGTGGACTTGAACTCACAAATCTGCTCATTAAGTTAAACTGCCAAAAGCCATTTTTATCCTGCTAAAACCTGATGTACAAGATCAATAAGAACATATATTAAAAAATAAAAAAAAATAAAAAAAAAATAAAAAACATTTTTTCCTAGAAGTGTTAGAATTTGTATTCCCAGAACAGCATTATTTTTGTTAGTGATTTCAATGGATTTTTGCTTCTAAGCCCAGGAGAAGTAGAAGGACTACCTGAAGCCATATCTGAGTATTTCTAATATATTGTGAAATTATGCCTAAAAGATACGCACTAAGTGAGAAAAATAGTTCACGCAGCATGATATTCATCTGATATGTTGCATATTTTATTACAGCAATGTCAGAAATTCCATTGTTATAATTAATCTATGAATTTTGAAATATAGTACAGCATCTTGCTGTAATGGTTCAGCTCATGGCAATACTTTATTTAAATAAGTGCTATATTTTTAGTAAGTTATTCCATTAGAGAAATGCAATAGTGTTTTTAGTAGGAGTATATGCTAAAATATATTTACATTGGAGGAGACATGCAGTGTGGAATTCATCCTTTTGTGTGGCACAGACTTCTTTCATGTGTTTAAACTTTAAACAGTGTGATCAGTTTGCTGTGACTGCATTTAGACCATTTAGTGTTCAAATCGTAGGGATTGCAAATAGCACTATTCACGTTAAAAATAGAGATTGTTAGATGCTCAAAACAATTATGACCCTCTTGAAATAATGCATTTGCCTCGAACACTGTGATACAGGAACAGTTCTGTGAAGTGGTACAATTCATTTGTTCATTCTAAACACAGAAGAGACTTTCTGCACACTACTACAAGGAAGTTCATGTTCAAACTTTAGGTTATATATCCCAATCTAGCAAAGGCACATTACAACGCTTATTTTCCTTTCTGACCAAAAACTGTGCTCGATTGTAATACGGGTGTATACTCTGTCAAAACAAAAAGAAAAAACAAAAGCAAAACAAAACAACAACAACAAAAAACACAACCTAAAACTATGGACTGCTTTCTAGGGTAGGTCAAACTGATTTGTAGAGTAGATTCATATATATTCAAAATTCAGGTTGGGCTGTTATGTGAATAAGAAAGAACTTCAAGGTAACATTCAACTTTACTACATTTAGTGAGCTGAAAGATTTGTTTTATATATATATATATTTACACACACATATATATATATATATGATACATATAAACTATCTTTGTAAAAATAAAACAAAAAATATGCAAGTGCAATAATTTAAAGAGGTCTTAACTTTGCATTTATAAATTATAAATACTGTACATGGTGTGTAATTTTTTTCATGTATTCATTTGCAGTCTTTGTATTTAAAAACAAACCTAAACCTTTACTATTACGTTTGTACAATAGAACAGTAAGCATTTATTATGATATAGTTACGTTGTAAATAAATTCACAAACCAAACAGCCAGTACATATGCATATATGGGTGTCCTATTGTGAAACCTGTTTTTGCTTTTACTGCTGGCTTTAGCACAGCAAGACTACTTCTGTGGATATGTAATTATACATATAAATATATGTATGATACATAAAATATATTTAGAAATGTTCATAATTTTAATGGATATATCTATACATATTCTTTGGTGTGAATATTACTGAATACAGAGTTTTTTAATATTATTTTTCATGTTTATTTTTGCTATTATTGGGAGTGGAAGTGAGGAATGTGAAGTGTGTGTGTGTATGTGTGTGCACCCACATGTGCACATGTGTATGTGCTCATATACCATGAGTAAACCACAATAGAAATGGAATCAAAACATAATGGAGTCCCATAATTTATGTTTGCCAACATAAACTTTTTTTTTTTTTTTTTTTATGTAATCAATTCTTGTGAGTTTATATTGTCACAAACTGCAAAGGGATCCACTTTCCCATTTGCTCTCCATCTGCCAGAGAGCTTACCTTGCTGTTGATGTAATTTCACATAGATCCTTGCTTCGGCACTGCCAAATGGGCATGTAGCTAATGCAGAATAATTTATTACCTTTTGGGGAATTATGCAGATACTCAGATGCTGAATGTACAAAAATAATTCTGCACCCAAATGTTAATGCTTGCTACCCCAAAAGGATATAAGGCTTTGACAATGGTCAATACCCTGAAAATACAAGCTAGGTTCAGGGAACCGTAAAATAAATTTCCGAACGGTCCTTTGGCAGATACTTATAAAAAGCAAACCAAAAACAAAAAATCTTTTGTGTTTATCTATTTAGCATATTGATTTGCTTCAAAGATTCCTTGCACCGTTCATGCTTAGTAACAGGGCTATAAACACCATTTATAGCCCTCAAAATTGTCTTGTGTCATCGTGAGTCTGCACTACCCTCCCATTCTCAGCAACAGACATTGTGCTTGGGAAAGAGGCTCCAGACTGACTTTGTGCTCTTGTTCTCAGCACAGCCTCCTGGTTTTTCCCAGTCTTTCTCCCCATTGTAGGAACCTGGAGCATTGCTAGCACAACTTGGCCAGAAAGAGGTTTCCAGAGCAACTTTTTAACTACTGCCTATGGTTGTCAAAAACATGTTTTACAAAGTATTCCTGAATTTGTGCTATTAGAGCTTACACTTCCACAAAGCTTTGCTGCAAGGAAACTGCTAACTCTTTTGATGAAACAAAGTACAGCGAGATTTAATGCATTTGTTAGGGATAATTCATTTAAGTTTAAACTTTCCAAATGTTTTGGGGGTACGGGTAATACAAGAGGAATGTTACTGGGAGTACTATTAATTTGGTCCTTTTTACCTGTTTCTGTGATGTTTGCAAGGAACTGTGGGGTGAAGTCAATCCCTTTCTGGTCAAATAATTTGATGGCAAATTGATGGCAGTCAATTTCATACCTTTTCATACTTTTCTGCTTGTCACGCAGACAGCTCTTGTAGTAGAGCATGGTGCTTTGCCATTGATGGTCACTGCACAGTCTATATGTTTTTCCTGATATTTTTGGTCATTTGTTATTGAAAAACATCACCAGAAAATCATTAAAACAATACCTGAATATATCCCCTTGTAGATATTGGAAAATGTAAATGTAAAAGGACGTCCACTGAAGCTTATTAACACCTGGGGAGGAACTGTTAGTTTCAATGAACTTTAAATCAAGCTCTATTGTAAGTAGCTCAGTAAGATTCTGTGCTCATTTAAGTCAACTGTAATGGCTGATGCCTTCAATGAGTTTCACCTGATCAACTGGTGTTGCAGATTACTTCATTGTACGTGTTTTGCTGAAGACAATTACTGAGGATGATTTCTTCTTCCTCAGTCTACAAGCATTTCCTCAGGTTAGAGAGAATATTTTTGTATTTTGTTTTGAAAATGGTTTTGTTTACAGTGCTCTACGAAGTGCTACCTGTGTTACAGGTGTTGCTTACAGAGATGAAGAGTTTTCACTCTAGGTCAAGAAAGAGCTAACGAGAAAATTGGCAGAAGCTAGTTGGCATGTGCATAAGATCTGTTGTTTAAACGAAAAGTCTTCTAAAGGAAAGGGAAAGCCTGAGAGTCAAGAATATGAATCAGATCAAATGATATCTTTAAAGAGAAAAGAATGCACTATACCAGGTAAAGATTATTTATTTATATATATATATATTTATAATGTTACTAAAAGGGCTGAACAAATTTCATCACATGGTCTATTAACATTCAGCTGGCCTTAATCACTTTTCACAGCAATGCAAACCCTGTGAATATAGGTAAGAATATGATGTAGAGCTATTTATATTCCTAGAGTTGTCTTTATGCTAGTTAGAGAAGCAATGTAAGTTCATAATAAATACTATTTAAAAAACATAGAGATGAGAGTACAGAAAAAAAAAAAAAGTCTTGTTACTAGTAAATCTTCTAGGTACTCTAGAATCATGCCTGTGGTAGAACTAAAGTTTCTAAGGAATAAATACCCTTTTTCTCATTGGTTGTTGTTGGAATGTATGTGAAATAGCACCAAACAAACAAACAAACCAAAACCCCAATATATTCTTTTTGAAAGCTGTCTTTCATGCATGACTTCTTCTTGCGTATTGTATTGCCATTAGAGTTAATCATCAATGCAAACAGATCAGAGTTTGATCAAACCATTCCGGTGTTCAGAGGTAGTCACCATTGTAGCTGATGGTGCATCAATTGAAGCCTTTTTCTGTCCTATGCCACAAGATGTGTAAGTCCCATGACCATCAGTCTCAGTGTGATGTTGAATTGCAGACTGTACAGAAAGCTTCACACAGAAAACTAATGTCCTATTTGCTATCTGAAAGCTTCTAAATCAACTCCTTGAAATCATTATATAGAATTTGCTGATAAGGTAGTTTCTTCATTTGTTGCCTTTTTCCTTTCTATTGTTTTGTTGTATAACTTTGCTTTCCTGGTGGAGTAATTTCTATTTTTATTTTACCTTAAGGACTCCATGAGTAAACCAGGCCACCATTTCTATATCATCTTCTACCCTCTCTACTTCTTGGTCTTTATTAAATTCCCCATGATCGGGAATTAAAAGTGCAAAGCCCTTTTCTGGACTTTTCCAAGGTTTATATAAACTGCAAAATGTTTAAAAAAAAAAATAAAAATACTGAGTTAATGGGCTGGAATTGTGGAAAGGAGACCTTAAACCCTAGCTGTTTTTAGCCCTGAAAGTAATAATTTATATGCAGTATTGCATAGTGTCGTATTCTACAATAAGATTAGAAACTGTAGAGTAGAATAGTTCAGTTGTAAAGGGACCTACAAGGATCATACAGTTCAACTGTCTGACCATTTCAGTACTATCCAAAAATTAAAGCATTTTATTAAGGACATATATATTATGCCCTAATATACATATATATTTAAATTTATATATGCCTCTTGTAAACAGACAGACATGGTTCATAAACCATCTTGCTAGGAAGCCTGTTCCAGTGTTTGACCATCCTCAAAGAACTGCTTATTTATTAATCTTTAATTAATTAATCTTTAAGATATATGCTTCTCCCGCAGCCTTTATGATTCTCCAGCGCTTTGTCTATGGTGCATTCAGTATCTGTTTCAAACACAAGTAGCCCAGCAGAAAAATGTAACATGCTATAATTTCTACATGCCAATAAAAGGTAAGAGGGGAGGTTCTTGTGGAAAAACTTAAATAGAGAGTGATATTTTGGGCATGTGCATGTGTGACATTTTTACACTGAGGACAGTTGCACTTAACTTGATAATAAACTTCCTTGATGTTGGTTTTCAAGGTTCTATAGACCCTGAACAGCCATTATAATAGCTGGAAATACTGTAAACTCAACATGCTAGTAACATACTGGGAACAAACAGAAACAAACATCATAACCAGGAAAAATAAAATGGGCTACACCAAGAAAAACATCAGTGTTTTAAAATATTGAAATATTGAGGCATAACTTTCTCCACAACCCTTAGCATGTAGCATGTCTCCAGCTTGTTGGAAATGGGGTGTTGGCAGGGTAGGGAAGACTTTAAGGAAGCTGCAGTTGCTTTTCTCTCTTGTAGTTGCATCCAGCTGTGAGATACTGTACCTCATTTCTTAGCATAGTCTGTTTAGAGTGGTCTAACCATTAAATTGCTCTGCATGCCTTTCACTGCATTGATTGGATCAGAGGGTGTTCAGTGTGACTGGACAGAGTCCTTCCCTGTCAAGGAAGAGGTAAGTATCACTGTTAAGGCAATCCCTGCCAGTCATCAGAATAAACAGTAGGCACCCAAACGAATATACACCTGCACAGAAAACTGGAACAGGAGTCTGTGGTCTTACCTCTGCTCCCAGCAACACGAGATGGTGAAATTTACAAGACCAGAGATGATGTGAAAGCTTACCTAAAGGGCTTGAACCTGGACAGTGTTCCTCTTCACCATGGAGGGTAATGAAGTCAGGGCTTTGCAGACTATATGCAGACTGCTATATTCTGTAGAAGATGACCTACAGAATAAAAAAGTTGCAGGATGGACCCCCAACAGTCTTTCTAAACAGGCACCAGTTTTATAAAACATAGAACTTCATTATATTTGAGACTGTTCCACTATGAAGTTTTGATGAATTCAGCCAATAAATTCAACAGCCTTATGGGAGGAGAATGAAGGTTCCAGGGAGAGAGCAAGGTCTTGCATGATATTACTAGAAAATCACCTAAGATATCAGACTGATTTATAATTTATGCTTTGAATTTAGAGCTATGGTAAAAGAAAAAGAAATATTGAAACCCTACATGCTGTATGAACACCAGCAAGCTTTTATTTCTGGCATTCCTAACACACAATCTAAACAAAGCAATTTGCCTGCAGTACCTCAGAACAAGCCTGAGCTTACTTTTTTTTTTTCTTTTCCCTGTTTAAGATGCTTTATTTGTAAATACTTTCCTGCTGTCTACAGCAGGAAAAAATACTTCCTAGTGGATGAATCTGGGTTTCAAGACTGAGTGCAACAGTGCTTTGGATTACCTACAGGTTATATTTCTGAGGCAGAAATGTGTGTAGTGTGATCGTGAAACTGGGTTGGAGACAAACATCTAAGTAACACATTATTAAAAATGATTCTAATTTTTGACTTAAGGGGTTTTTTTTGTTTTGTTTTGTTTTGTTTTTTTTTAAGTAATTAGGTTAGTAAACTGAGCCTGCTGATGTTGATACCAGCCTTCCCAGTGGTATTGATGTGATGGTGTTCGTAGATCCTGTAAACGCTTTCTGATTTAAGGGCTCTGTTGCCTCTTGTATAAAACCTACCCTGCACATCAGACAGGTTTGAATTACCCAGTCCAGGTCCTATGGACCTGAGTACAGGGTTGCTCCTGCTGCAGTAGGCTGCTACACAGATCGCTGTGAAAGCTTGCAGAACAAATGCTCCCAGCTCCTCACACAGCCCCCTACACTCTGGTTGATTCTGCCTTTTTATGTAATAACAATATAAATTAAAGTAAATGGACCTCATTACTGTGACAAAGTATGCAACAACTGTAAGATATTTGCATTTCAGGGCATTTGAGGGGAACGATAATAGCCATAAAACTTGTAGCAATAGATCTGATTTCTTGGCAGCATTTTCTGTTGTTCATTGCAAACAAAAGTCCCACTGTAGTACCAACAGTAATGGAAGGAATGCTGCAGCTTTTCCATTTATGCAAACATGGCTTGAGGAGCAGGAGCAATAGCTCAGGGGTAAGAGAGATTTTTGCAGCTTGGCGCCTACATGTTTCACTAGTAATAAAGAAGTATTGACTTAGCCAGATTTGTGGTCACCATACATAGGAATGCTGGCTGGGAGTGATCGCTGCCTTGTGCAGATGGGAGGTTTCACGTATATTATAAACTATAGCTGGATCCAACTCATTTGTGTCTCCTGAGCATAAACCAGAGAGCTTTTGTAAGGAGAAACTCAGGCTGCTGTGTGCAGGCCTACAGAATGAATACTGACTGAAGAACATCTTTCTGAGTCAGGCAGATGTGATGACTGGTGCTGTGCTTGATAATCACCAAAGTGCTTGTCACCTAGTTTGCCAGAAATCGAACACACAGTCTGATACTGCTTGAGGTTCTGGAGAAGTGGATTTCACTAAGTATGCTTGTGGGATTAATGTACAGGCATTGGTGGTATTTATTTAATTTCTTCCTTTCTTCTTGCACTGGGAACAAAGCACATGATTTTCAAGTTAAAGAGCATGTAACCGAATGGCCATCACAAGATGATGAGGCATTGTATATGGTCTTAAAGAAATGTGCCTGATGTTTTCTGTCAGGGATAATCTAGGTTCCCCCTTATTTCCCTTGTATTCTTCCTGTGTCATCAACTTGCCTGCATTTTGATTTGATGACCTTGTGCAGGTTCAGATTCTGGTCTGACTGACACTTAAGGAGGTTCTGCTTTGGCTGTGGTTTTGCTAGATATCATGTTTTTTAAGACTACCGCTTTTTTTTTTTTTTTTTTTCCCTTCACCCTCTCCCACAAGCCATTTTCCGGTGTACAGACTCAGCTGCAGCCCACATCCCATGTGATGGGTCCTTCTAGTACACCATCTACCTCATGTCACTTCAAGTTCCTGGAGAAGCGTGTGACTTGACTTCATTCTGCATCCAGGTCTCTCACTAGATACTGGCCTCTCTGTGGAAGGATATGGGAATGCAGCTATTAACAGGTTATAAACCTCAGCTCAGTCCTGGGGTAAAAGACTTCAGTCCCTGAATGCTGTCAGCAAAGCAAAGTAGGAAGTCCTCTTTCCTTGAAGGTTAAAATACTTTTGATATATAATGAAAAGTTTTGGTGCTCAGTGAACTAAAGGCACCCCCTCAGACAAGAACAGATTTTTTTTGGAGGTCAGACAGTGTGACAGGGAAAAAGAAAAAGTTACCACATGATTAGATATAAGGTCTTGGTGCTTCAGCTCCCTTTGCTTGTTAGATTCCAGTCTCACCATTGTGCTAGAAATTGGTGCCAGCAAGCAGCAGGTCAGTGCCCAGAAGACATGAATGGGTGCTGGGTGCCTCAGACTCACTGCAGCCCCATTGCTCAGCAGTGTTGCATTGGGCCTGCTTTGTCACAACCTTTTTGATTTCTTTAAATGAGGAAGTGAATGGAGACAAATGAGGGAAAGGGGAGAAGGGGCAGAGCACAAGCGAAGAGGAAAGGAGTCAGCCTGTCTGAATGGGAAGCGCTGCTGTTTGTTCATGTGCAAGGGAGCAGCTGAAACTTCATGGTGTGAGAGTGTGGGGAGGGCAGGGGTGCAGGGTTACAATCGCAGGAGCTTTTTTTTTTTTTAAAAAAAAAAAGGTATCACACAAATGTTGTCATCCAACTGGAAAATAGCAAATGTACTACCAGCATTTAAGGACAGCAGACTTGTTCCTCTCTCGTTCCTCTCTTTTCTTTGGTAACTTGTTCTTTTAGACCAGGGAAGCATGATTGTCTGCAGAGGTTTGCAATAATGTCAGCTGGTCTGCTCCTGGACAAAACCGAATAAACCAGTAATTAGCACAAGAGGCAGTGGTAATTAGTACAAGAAGTGCCTGGGGGGTCAGAGTGGACCTACATCTGCGGAGTGTGGGAGGACCTGCTGGGGAGGGGAGGAGAGGGGAGGAGATGGTGTGAGGAGAAGGATAGTGCGTGCATGGGGACAGAGGGCACCCACAGTAGATCTGGGAGGGGATAGGGGACTTTGCCAGGGCCATGGTGGGGAAGCCCCACACAGGGCTGGTCCCAGATTAATCCTCATGGCCCGGACTGAAATGCTACTGAGGCAGGGTGAGGCACAGGTCTGTGTTGCTGGGCGGGGACCTGGGGTCGGCAGGGTGTCTGGCTGGTGTCCGTGGTGATGGCTGGGCCCTGACGGACTGGAGGAAGCTGGTGGTTGTTGAAGTGCCAGCTTGGATGCTTGGTGTAAGGTGAGGAAGCCATTTCACCCAGCCTGATGGCCAGCTCAGGGGCTTCCTATGCAGTGGGAAAAGCCAAACATCACTGGTGTGGTCCATGCCACCACAGGGCTACTGCCTTCAGTGACCTTATCAGAAACATCACACCAGGATCCAGTGCATGTATGTGTTTCACTACAGGCAGCCTGAATTTCCCCATGTCTAGGAAGCCATGATCAACTATACTGAAGTGTTTTACTGTGCTTCAAAACTCTTTTCCACCCTCATGTTCTGCAGGCAAAAAATATCCCTCTGCCTCCCTCAGGAGGTATTGAGAGGAGAGGTGAAAATGTAGTTAACATCTCTTCCACTCTGCAAGTGTCAATTACCTTTCTTTTCCCCCCTCAGATGGTCTATATATATAGCTATAAATATAGCCAGCTAAATTCAGGCTGTTTTCAACCTGTGTTTAGCACTGAAGTGGACAGGTTCTATTTTAGGGCTGAAGAAATGTTTGCGTGCCTGAAATCTCCAAGTTTTTCTAACTTTATCAGTTGGTCTAATAAAAGAGATTACCTCTTCCTACAGACCTTCCCTTGCTTACGTCCTTCAGGCACTGTGTCTACAATAACACTTCTTTCCTATTGCTTCTCTGCCACCTGCAGTGCACAACTTGAATGCACAAGGCAGAGGATGAGGGAAGGCATATTAGGGTATTTCCTTATTTTATTTCTATTGTTTCATTTTG